ATATTTTCCGCAAACCAGTGGATAATCACATGGATCGACTTCGTTCTCAAAAAAATCTTGGACTTCCTCCCAGTTTGATTCTACCCACCCGAAGGACCTCAAGTGCCCATCAAAGCCTAATTGCATATAACTTACTTGGGATAATAAAGGGTAAGCACCAAAATTTATTTCATTGAAATCAGCATAAAACTGTCCTGTTTTGCTTCTTAATTGAGACAGAGAGGATTGGTAATAGACTACGGTCCCATCTATGCTCGCAGAAGCTACAAAATAACCATCATCATCAATTGAAAACGAATATAAACCCTCACTCCAATTTGTAGCTGAAATACTTGCCACCAATTTCTGCCCAGAAACTAGCCTCTGCCCAATAACCAAAGTGTCCGTTGGATGATCAAAAGACTGCCAAACCGTCTCATTGTTTCTATCAAACAGCATAAGGTTACCCTGATTAGTTAACTTCATTCTTGAAACAAATTTACCTGCTGTGTTTGTAGACCAAACCAGAGTGCCATGATCATCTTGCAGTGTTAAATCCCCCTCTTGAGAAAATTGCAATTTTGCGTGAAGTCCAATCGGTTTGTTTCGATTAGCAGACCATACCATTTGTGTAGAAAAGTTGGAGGTTTCATCAAAACTGGATGGAAGGATGGATATAGCAAAGAGGCAGGCGGTTCCTTCAAATTTGCAATGGAAGCCACAAACAAAACTCCCATTAACCAAGATAGGTCTCACCCCTGCTGATTCCCACAAAATAACGTTAGTTGGGACGCTGTTAGTCCAAGAGACGGGTGGCATCACAGTTGATGGATAACCAAAAGCTTCAACATCTGCCAGAAGCAATGACATTATAAACAGAGATAGAAAGGTAGCAAGAAAGCAGACAGTTTTCCTTCGCCCACCAACCACCATTGCTCTTATAATTGATTGCTCTAATATTATATAATTGAGCTGCAAGACAAGTTAAATGAATTAACAAGAAACAAAATACAAAGCAGGAAGGACTAGTATGATAGTATGTAGATTTCTTTTTTCCTTAAATGTAAACTTCGCTCGGCACTCAATGTGTACACTTTCAAATTCCTTAGTCATAGCAAAAAAATAAAATATAATTAACAAACTTACTTTTGACAAGTTTGAAATAAATAAATTAACTTCGAGATTTGATCATATTTTCTATTAAATTAAAAAGGTTAAAACCCCATTTTGGTCCCTCAACTATTGTACGAACCTCTGATTTGGTCCCTGAACTAAAAAAATCCTTGATTTGGTCCATACTGTTTACCATTTTGACCCCGATTTAGTCCTTTCGTTAAAAATTGATTGACGTGTCCCATTACTTGACGGAAAAAGATGACAGCATGGCAAAAAAAGAATGATATGGTAAAAAAAACAATGACATGGCAAAAAAAAACCTTAAAATATTTCCTTTTCCCTTTTTTTCTCTTTTTCTTCCTTTCATCTTCTTCCTTCCCTTTCGCCTTCTGCAAACCCTAACACCTTCTAACATTAAATCAAAAAATTATACAAACCTAGAATCTCCCCAAACCAGTCACCGCCCTAAATTCTTTCTTTCAACCTCCCCAAAAAAACTCAGAAATATCATGACATATTTTTCCAAAATTCAAGCTTCTAAACATAAATATTAAAAAAAAAAAA